CTATCTGTTTATTCTATCTCAAATAAAATATAACTAAGCACTTTTTCATTGTTAGAACGTAAAACAAAACCTACTACTGAATTAGACGATACAAATACCATAAAATATTTACCCCCCGCAAACTGTAAAGGACTTTTAGAGAAATTGCGTGCTGCAATTTATTTATCACTTGATGAATTATGGGGTATCCCTGATGAAATAGGATTAAAAGCTTCTATGTTAGATCCTCGAGTGTTAAAATTACTTCCATTCGCTACTGATGATGAACGCAAAAATACTGAGACACAACTTCGTGCAGAATTAGAAGCATTAGAAGCTCAATTTAATCAGAATAATGATAACACGGGGAAGGTTACTATTATTACAGAGGAGGAGGAATGCGATTCATTAAGTGCTGAATTATGGGGCTCATTTACAACACCCATTTCACAAGCTGTTACTGAAGATGAACTAACACGGTATTTGAAAGAACAAGTTGCACTTAAGAGTCAGGATCCTCTCATGTGGTGGAAAGAAAAACGTACAAGCTTTCCGCTACTTTGTCAGCTTGCGCACAAGTATTTATCCATTCCTGCGACATCGGTCCCATCTGAGCGCTTATTTTCTGATGCGGGTGCTCACATATCAGCAAGAAGAACCCGTCTTGCACCAGACTTAGTAGATAAGATGCTATTCTTAAAAAGAAATTACTCATTTTTAAAGGATAAATAGTTTCTTTCTATATGTTTTTTTAGTACCTTTAATAAGATTTGAGTAGTATAGGAGAGAAATGATTAGACTTTGACAACTTTATTGTAATTAGGTCTATTCTAGGAACCATAACAAATAATAACAAATATATAGTCTCGATTCCAGTAAAGCTAAATTTTACTATTAGAAAATGTGAATCAAGCATTCCCTATCAATGTCTACGTAGTATCCTTCATAATTAAGCTAATTTATAATACCAGGTTAAAGCTAATAGAGTAGTATAATTTATGCATTCGAATAATGGTTTTAGATGATTTGGAAGAATAACTTTAAAGGGATCAATTTATTTATCAGGTTTATTATTATTATTATTATTATTATTATTATTTTGTTTAGTATTCATTGCTTATAAAATAACTTTTAAATTAATATTAATAATTTGTTAGGTTCCACAATTGATATGTTTCTAAATAGGTTCAAAACGATTAATTTTAATTAAACTTATAAGAATTTAGTATTGACGCTATATATTGGTAAATATACTATATTGTAATATAAATTAAATATTATACTGATATTCAGCACTAATTTTTAAAAAATTTTAATAAAAGCTAGATCTAGGCATTATTATTTTAACCTGGCTATTTAATACGTAAAATATATTGTAAGCAAGACTATTTATTCTCTCTTATTACTGTATTTATTTTATTCTCAATAATTTCATTAGCGTATCTAGGAATCTTTTATTAATTTAATGCAGTAATGGGTAAGTATAACATTACCAGTATTATTGATCGATTTATTTTAGGATAAGCTAATTATTATTCCTCTTTTTTATTTAATTTAATAGATAAGCACAATAGTTATTGTTTATTTACTATTCAACCTATACCATTTGCTGTAATACTTTAATCCATATTATTCGCATTAACCAGGCTTGTTGACATAATGCTTATTTATTATTTGAAAGGTTTATATATATACTTACTGTAATTTGAATGATAAAAATTAAAATCAGGAGAAAATTTATCCAAATTTTAGCTAAATTTTCTGTTCAATTTTGATCATAATTTTAGGTACAAATTTGATTATCTGTTCAAAATCAGTATCTTTTAGTGTAATATTTTAGTATTTTCTAACATGTTTAAATTGTATTCTGATATGTGCGTCTATCTGTGTAATAAATTTGTTATAAAAGTCTAGAACCTTTTTTATAAGGTTTATTAGTTGATAAGAGCAGTCTTCTCTATAAATTTTTGTACAACTAAGCGCACCAAAAATGTTAGACAAGCATTTGAACGAAATTTAAAAATGTTGAAATAATTGTTATAATTATTATTATGATTCAAAAATTGGCTTTTATTATTATTATTATTATTATACGAAATCACAGATCGGATGAAAAATCATTCAGCAGGTATCTCAGAAATTATGATAATAGCTATAATCCGGATATATTTTATTAATCCGGATATATTTTATTAATCTGGATATATTTTATATCCGGATATATTTTATTAATCCGGAT